CTGAGGTTTACATTCTCAAATTACCTCAAGCTTATTATACCCAGCACATTAAGAGAATTGTCTACACTTAACTCCCCATCTGGATAAATACCTACCAGATAGAGCCTGAAACCTCTGCACACTGAAAGTGCCACAAGAAGATCACTCCCTACCCCACCCCCAACACCCACTCCCATCCCAGGGCAACAAAGCCAGGACAATGGAGTTCCAGGCACTGTCTCCCAGACTCCAGGCAATGGCAGGTGCTGCTCTGAGGACTTCTGGGAGGTGACAGAAATAGCTATATAGATAGTAAGACCCATGCTTGTCTAGAACTGCTAAGAACACTGGATATTGATTAAATTTTTCTATCTCCACAACAGGTTTCTCTCTCTCTCTTTCTCTCTTTTTGGTTGTTATTGTTCATGTTTGAAAAACATAAGGAAGAGAAATTCAGTAACAGGAATTCTTCTTTTATGTGTTCTAGGGGGAGGTTTCAGTGCTGCCCTTGAACACTGGTCTAGCTGAAGAATCAGGGGTGTCACAGCACCCTGAAAACCAATGGAGAGCACACACAGCCTCCCTCCCCTCCCCCCTGTCCCTCTGTTCCTCCCTTTTACCCTACTGCTCTGTTCCCCTCAAATGGGATCCTTTCTCTGCCTCTTCCGGCATCCTTCCTTTGTCTACATTATACCTCCTGTATCTCAGCTCCCTTCTACTCAGTCTCATCTCTTTCTGCTTCCTCCTCAATTGCCTCCTAAGTTACACATACAAAGGTCTACACATGCATGCACATACACAAAATCTGTCTTCTCTCCCTTTCATCCCTAGCTCAATCTCTGAACATCTCATTTCCATTCTCAGAGAAGAGTGATCAACCAGTCAAAATGAAAACACCAAAACCATTGCTATCAACTCACAGAGACTTTACAGAACAAGGTAGAACTGTTCCATAGGGTTTCCAAGGCTACAAATTTTACAGAAGCAGACTGCCACATCTTTCTCCCACAAAGTGGCTGGTGGGTTCAAACCACTGACATTTCGGTTAGCAGCCAAGCGCTTAACCACCATGCCACCAGGGCTCCTTCTATCAACTAGCAAGCCTGACTTTCTGAGAGAAGACAAATGGGGCCTTTCTCATCTTTCCTATATAAGAGGATTTTAGGGTCTTTGTCCTCCCCTAGTTCTACAAATTGGACATAAAAAGAGATACGAAATTTACTCCTCACCCCATTAAGAAACTCTGAGCCAGGTTAAGCAAGGCCTCCTGAGTCCACGGTCCCCACCTGGAGGGGATCAGAGTGGCTGTAGGAAACCTACTCCCTCCAGCTGGGTTACAGGACTGGATCCAATTTGAGACTAAAGTAGGGCAAGGTGTGTAGTAAGCACAGTTCTACCAAAGTCCCACAGGAATCATGACAGGTGACCCAATTTCATCTCAAGTGACTTGGCAGCAGCCTCACCTCTGCCACTAGACAGTTTCAGGAAAAGCCTAATTACATGCAGCAGGGGGCCTGGCACCCTGCAGAGAAGCTACTGGCCCTGGTGTAAACTTCCTGCCTCCTACTCCTCACTTCCACTCCTATCCACCCCTTTCCAAGGAAAGTATAGCCAGTGTCAGCTCCCATTCCCAAATAATCCACACCGACTCTTCCTAAAAAGCATTATCTCCAGCCTGCCTGGAAGAAGGGCAGGAAGTTTTGTGTGTCATGTTGAACTGGAAGAATGTAGTAGATTCTGAGGGTCCTGAAAGAAAGGAGGACAAAAGCAGGAAGGGTACCCTAAAGACCCACACTTTGGCTATGGATGGGGCCCCAGTCTGAGACTGGGTCAGGGTGGAACAACTCACTGCTGTAGGCCTCAGAAGGAATGGAACTTGAAAACTGGGCATTCAAGTACAAATTCATGGGGTCAGCAAGGACCTTCCTCTCAAATCATGGTGATTCCAGCATATGGAGAAGCTTAGCTCCTCTCTTAAAAATCCATCCTTCCAAAATGAGATCACTGGCTGGTTCTGTCACCCACGGGAGAGGGTGAAATGTAGAGGGGGAATGGGTCAGAGCGCAAACCCCAAGCTTCACTTCAGCATCTTCTCCCATCCCCCTCTGCCTGAGCTGCCTACAGAGGCCCACAAGGCAGACAAGAGCAACCGCCCCTCCCTTTCCCCTGCCCACCTTCTAGTAAGGCAGAGAATGTGACCAGAGACAGAAAACAGGCAGAAGAAAAATCAGAAGATGACAAGAAATCAAGTCTTCTATGAACTTTAGAATCATTCTGGGTAATCAAGAATTCTCAGTACAGGAGATCAAAGATGAAAAATGCTTAACAACATCTGACCAGTCTTCCAAGTATTCCAAACCCTCCAGCATCAAAAGGACAGTCCTACTTTAGCATTCTCTCTTATGAAAATATTTTATATATATACATATATGTCATGAGCAAAGCCTCCCCTGGGAGGGAGGGAGGACCTGTTCTCTCTTAGAAATACTAATTGAAGTGTTCACACATGCACGTGCCTCATACAAAAAAAGTCAGTTTCCCCACATAACTACTCTCTATGACAACCTGGAGGACAAGCCACAATGTAACATGCAAGCATATTAAACAATTTCTCTTTTTCCTCCAAATGCCCCTTTGTTGTTGCTGTTTTCGCTATTTGTTGTTGTTGTTGTTGTTATTTGCCATCGAGTCGGCCCCGACTCATAGCGACCCCTCCTTGGGTTTACAAGGCAGTATCACTACGGAAGTAGGAATGCCCAACCGCTATTAGTGGTCATCAAATCAGCCCTGACTCATAATGACTTTATGCACAACAGAGCTAAATGCCGTGCCATCCCCAAGATCGGTTACAGATCAGACTTTTGTGATCCACAGGGTTTTCACTGGCTGGCTTTTAGAAGTGGATCACCAGGCCTTTCTTCCTAGTCTATCTTAGTCTAGAAGCTCCAATAAAATCTGTTCAGTCTCAAAGCAGCATATAAGCCTCCACTGACAGATGGATGTGGCTGCACATGAGGTGCCTTGGCTGGGATCTGAACCTGGTTCTCCCACATGGCAAATTCCACCACCAAACCATCAAACCAAAACCAAATCCAGTGCCATTGAGATGATTCCAACTCACAGTGACTCCCATTGGGTTTCCAACATAGTAAATCTTTATGGAAGTAGATTACTCCAGCTTCCTTCCATGGAGCAGCTGGTGGGTTTGAACCACCAACCTTCTGGTTAGCAGTCAAATGCCTTAGGCACTGCACCACCAGATCTCCCTAACTGCTTCCTAAATGAACCTTTAACAGTACTAATTTTGAGATAATTGTAACATAATGGTTAAGAGCACATACTCTAAAGACAGACTAACTTGGTTTTCTCAAATGTAAAATGGGGATATAATAGTCCTATCTCAAAGGGTCAGCGGGGAAAATCAAATGGATAATATCTGTAAAGTGCTGAGAATGATGCCTGGTACACACTATGTCCTATACAAATGTTTGCTATTATTTTCCCTCTGGTTTTTTCACCACACTAAATATCCCCATGGATATAAGCAATAGGTGTCCCATCCTTAAGGCCAGCAGCTTTCTCTTCCTGGTTTTAAGGTTTACTTACCCTCAATTCATTTTCACATTCAAATTCTGCCCAGCAGTGTTTGAGGCTTGCTGTGGCACCAGCTCTAAGCCTAGATAAAGGCCTCAAATGGACATCCTTGGGAATTCTGACCTCATCACCCCATATCCCAGAGTCCCTGCAGTTACTTTCATGCATAAACATGGATTTCGTGGACCCTCAATGAGTGACTTCTGCTTTTGTTAATAGAGACTCTTTGAGTCTCTTTGTGGCTTCATCTAACCGAAGAGCTGGAATGGCCAATGGGCCTAACAATACTATGGGCACTCAGGTGAGTGGTTCAACCCTACTGAAGCCAGCTGACCTCTTACATGGGAAAGCTGTTCTGAGAGCACAGATTAGGTCTATAAGACATCCAGCTATCTCACAAATGCACCCCACTGGTCACCAGAGCGCCCGATGCAAAGGCCAGATACAGAGCATTGATGTCTCCCCACCATGAATTCATATTCTGCTCACTCATTTACTCACTCAGCAAATAGTATGAAATACTTACTTTGTGCCTAGTATTGATTGATCTGAATAACAACTGTCCACAGCAATGAATGAGACAAAACCCCTGCCCTGTGAAACTTACACTCTACTGGGATGAGTTAGCCTATAAACAAAATAAATAGGTAAAGCATACACTATGGTAGATGGTGATAAGTGTTCAGAAGAGAAATAAAGCAGGGAAGGAGATTGAGAGTGAAGGGAAGTGGGGAGTTCAAATTTTAAATGGGGTAGCCAGGAAAGGGCTCATTGAGTAAAGGGCACTCAAGCGGCTAAGGGAGGAAGAGCATTCCAGACAAACAGAACAGCAGGAGGCCTGACATGTCTGCAGAAGGGCACCATGCTGGAGTGGAACAGTGAGGGGTAGAGAAGGAGGTGAGCTGACTGTGTGTAATCCTGCAGACCTGTGGAAGAGCTCTGGCTCTTATTCAGGGAGGGAGGAGGAGCCCCTGGAGGGTTCTGCATAGAGGAATGACATGTTCAGGTTTTCATAACCAGGATCAAAAGGACAGTCTGAATTTGGGTGATAGTGCCATTTGGGAGAGACTCTGGTGGTGGCTGTGACCAGGGTGTAGTGCAGGAAGTGATGAGACAGGGTCAGATTCTGGACACATTTGGAATGTGGAGCTGACAGGATTTATTGATGAATTAAATGTCGAGTATGAGAAAAAGAGATGACAAGAATGGTTCCAAGATTTTGGTGGTTACTGTGTCTAATAATGATGTCACAGGTGACTGATGTAAGCCGAGCCAGGGTTCGGGTGGAAGGAAATAAAAGACTCTGAGCACAGTAAGGGATTACATGAAGCACTGTAAGCCTGCAAAGGGAGCATTCCAGCACTCAGCACAGTGTCTAGCATATAGTAGGTCCTCAACATCCTAATAAATGCCTAATGAATGAAAAGGACTACTGTGGCGCAATCGGTTAGCGCGTTCGGCTGTTAACCGAAAGGTTGGTGGTTCAAGCCCACCCAGGGACGGGCCTTTAGTTTAGGGAGCTCTGGTAGCATAGTGGCTAAGGCACTTGACTGCTAACCAGAAGGCTGGCGGTTCAAACCCACCAGCCACTCCTCGGAAGGAAGGTTGGGCAATCCTACTTCCGTAGTGATACTGCCTCGGAAACCCAAGGAGGGGTCGCTATGAGTCAGGGCTGACTCAACGGCACATAACAACAAACAACAACAACAACAACAACACAGTTACAGAAATAAAAATCAGCTTTAAAATAACATTGCTTGAGGGAAAATATAATTCTTACAGGGGAGGAGGAGGAGAAAAGAAGAAAATCAATCAAAATAGAAGCAGCTCACACTAGAGAGCTCTCTCCACCCCTGAAGCCTGTGTCCTTTATCTGCTGGCTAACCAAAAGATCAGCAGTTCGAACCCACCAGCTGGTCTGCAGGAGAAAGTTAAGGCAGTAAAGATTTACAGCCTTGGAAACCCTATGGGGGTCGCTATGTGTTGGAATCAACTCAATGGCAGTGGGTTTCATTTATGGCAAAGGAATCTCTATCATAATCAAGAAACTGGCCCTAGAGAATGTTAAACCTAACACATTTACAAAGTAAAGGGACAGGGAATGTTGTGGAAGGCAGTATTGTCCAGATGGGGTAGTCTGAGAAGGGAAGGAAGTGAGCAGAGACCTGAAGTGGGAGAGGGTACCTCCAGAGACATGGAGAAGTGCAATCCAGGTGGAGAGTCAGCAAAAGAAATGACCAAAAGTGGTTGCGCCCGACAGTGTCAAGAACAGCTTAGAAGGGCAGGGAAGCTGGAACAAGAGGGGCACAGAGGGAGGAAAGGTCAGGAGAGCATCAGGCCAGAGCACACTGGGCCTTGTAGGCAATGGTTAGGTGTTCAGATTTTGTTTGGACAAAAGACTTCCTTTGAGGTGTTTTGAGCAGATGAGTTATATGATCTGATATATGTGAAAGGATCACTCTGGCTGCTGAGTGAAGAACGGCTGCTGTAGGGCAAGAGTGAAGATGTAGAAACTGCTGCCCTCTGCCAACATTCTCTGTCCCCTTACTTGGCTTTATTTTACTTCATATTACTTATCATTATCTGGCATTATACACTTTTCATTGTGTTACTGTGGATATTTAGTGTGATGAAAAGACCAGAGGGAGGAATAATAGCCAACACTTACATATAACAAAGTACGTGCTCAGCATTATTCTCAGCACTGTACAGATATTAACCTATTTGATTTTCCATTGACCCTTTGAGATAGCACTAATATATCCCCACTTTACAGTTGAGAAAACCAAGGTAGTCTATCTTCAAAGTCTATGCTCATATAATTATCCTAGAATTGTCTCAAAGTAAGTATTGCTAAAGGTGTGTTTGGAAGGAATAGAGAAGATGTTTAATATGTTTGGTTGTTTTCTTGATTTGTCAGATTGTGGGGAGTAACTGTGTGTGAAAACTGACTTTTTTATGAGGCATGGATGTGTAAAGTTGTTTTGGTTTTTTTCCATTGTGGTTAAAAAAAGAAAAAAAAAAAACATATAACAAGACATGTGCCAGTTCAACACTTGATGTGATTATGTTCATCATGTTGTGCAACCTTTTCAAAGCTATTCCACTACCATTCACAGAAACTAAGTGTCCCCTAAGCAAACTCCCCCCCTATCTTCCTCCCTCCCACTCCTGGTAACCATTAATAAGTTTTGGTCTCCCTATATTTGTCTATTTCATATATATATACATGAAATATATCATGTATGTGTGTGTGTGTATGTATATATATATACACACACACACACACACACATACATGTATTTTTTAAAATTTTTAACATCTGTCTTCTACTCACCTAACAAAACCATCAACATCTCCCACTAGAACATGAGCTCCAGGACGGTAGAGATTTTGCTTCTTCACATCTATATCTCTAGCACCTAGCACAATGCTCAGCCATAGTAGGTGCTTGGCAATTATTTGTAGAATAAACCAATGAAATTATTGGAAAATGCTAGCAAATGTGCCAGATTAATGGGTTTTGTGCTGTCATCTAGCATTAAGAAATCTCCTTGCTGACAGCATGATCTTATACCACTTGTTAATTTATTACCCCTTCTATCCAATAATTCACTAAGTCTTTACTTCACATCTCCTATATGCCAGACACTGTGCAAGGTTCGGGGGATAGAATCATGTCAACTTACAGAGTTGATAGTCTAACAAATAATCACACAAATACACATGTAACAACAAATAGTGGTAAAAGCTATTAAGGAAAAGAAAAAGGTATTTAATGATACAAAGGCATTCAATTTAGACTGAGGTTCAAGAGAGGCCCTCTGTGAGGAAGTAACAATTAAGCTGAAACTTTAAGGGTCAGGAGTTCTGGTGGTATAGTGCCTAAGCATTTGACTGCTAACCAGAGGCTGGAGGTTCAAACCTCAGAAGGAAGACTGGGCAATCTACTTCCGTAGAGATACTGTCTCAGAAACCCAAGGAGGGGGCGCTGTGAGTTGGGACCAACACAACGGCAGAGAGTTTGATTTTTTTGTTTTTGAGGATTTGATCAGATGAAGAATGAAGAGGGAATAATGTGAGCAAAGCAAAGGGAATAGTTGGCACAAAGCAGAGGAAACAATGTGAGCAAAAGGACTGGAAATGAGAAAGAGCCTGGAAAGTTAGAGGTCACTGTGATAGAAGCACAGAGGATGAAGGAGGAGGGGAATGCAGTAAGACAGAAGAACAGACAGGGGACAGACAAAGCTAGGTAGATCAAATCACAAGATCAGCAGAGGCATGACAATGAGGAACTCAGGCTCAGTGGACCAATCCCCTTATCCAAACTGCAGGAACACTGCCAAGAATCTGAAGAAAGTCAGTGTCAAACAAAAGGAAGTACAGACAAAAAAAATGCAAAAATACACTGCCATCGAATCAGATCTGACTCACAGTGACCCCTCCTTGGGTTTCCTAGGTGGTATCACTATGGAAGTAGATTGCCCACCTTCCCACCAGAGCTCAGGTAAGTCATTGATAATTTCAAGTAATGAGACCATTCTTCTGACAAAAGAAACTCTATAAACATTAACAGATATTCAAAGTTCTTTACAATTTGCCCCCAATCTCCTCTCCAGGCATTTTCCAACCCACCCCCTACATTATGGTCACTTCTTGAATATGGTATACTAATTGTATACCCCCACCCCCACCTGGCTTTTGCTCCTGTCATTTCCCTTCCCACCCGCCTTCCCTGCCTAGAGAAATTCTCTTGATTTCTATAAGCTTTCTTCAAGAAGCCTGTTTTGACCATCTCAGACCGAAATACTCGGCATCTTCTTTATGAGCCCATAGCACTTGATTCATAATGCTGAATAGGATTACAACACTATCATGGCATCCACTGAACACAGTCTGTCTTCTCTCCTTGAGGACAGAATAACAAAATCTCCCTAACCTTCTAACACCTAGAGTGGGTCCTAGCAAGGAGTAGGGCCTCTGATGTTTGTTGTGTAAAATAAGTTCAATTGAATTGCTCGAATTGTCCACCATCTCTTCTAACACTGTGCTCTAATGACAGCAGGGAGGAGTGGAAAGACCCTGGGCTTTTCTAATTAGGCAAAACTAGGCTCTATTCCAGAGTCCCCAAGTGGTATAAAACAGTTCAAATGCTCAGTGGACTGAAAGGTTGGTGGTCTGAGTCCACCCAGAGGCATCACAGAGCAAAGGCCTAGTGATCCACTTCCAAGAAATCAGCCACTGAAAATCTCACAGAGGGTAATTCTTCTCTGACACACATGGGATCACCATGAGTCAACAGCCGCTTGTAAGATTCCATTCCAGGTTTTCCATCTTAATAGCCACAACCTTGGGCAGGTCACCTAATGCCTTGCTGCCTGGACTGCCTCATTTGTAAAATGAGAAGTGATCAGTGTCACCTTGCAAGGCTAATACAAGAACTGAAGGCCGTGCATGTAAAGTACCCAGCACAGTGCCTGACACACATAGGTATAAACTAAATGGCAGCTATCATTATTATCAAGGAGGCTTATTGACACAGCTGCTAACCAATAGGTTGGTGGTTTGAAGCCACCCGACAGCTCCATGGGAAAAAGACTCGGCAACCTGCTCTAATATTTCAACCTAGAAAACCCTATGGGTCAGTTCTACTCTGTCACGTGGGGTTGCTATCTGTTGAAACATTATGATCCACATGTTTCAAGTTTTTCATGTCTTTTTTCAGTACTATATTAATGCTCAAAGAGATCCCAACAAAGTGTGTCTTGTTCTGAATGAGGAGAGGTAACACAGTGAAAAAGACATGAGTATGTGGATGTGGGGGGAGCTCTAGTGGTGTCGGGTCTAAGTAATTTGACTGCCCAGAAGGCTGGTTGTTCAAACCCACAGCCACTCCTCAGAAGGAAGATTGAGCAATCTATTTCTGTAGAGATACTGCCTCAGAAACCCAAGGAGGTAGGTCTCTATGAGTCGCATGGCCTTGATGCAGTGAGTTTGTTTTTTTTTTGGGGGGGTGGCGGTGGATGTGGAGATATAGCACTCCCAGGTGGTAAAGAGCAAGTGGCAGAGTATGATGTCATGGGAAACAAGATGACTCTGACTACTGCAAGATATTTCCTTTCTGCTTCTAAGGCTAACCTCTGCTCACTACTGAACTGACCGTTATTACAAAGGCCACAGAGAATCCAAGTCCCCATGGAGGCCATAAGCTCCTTCGAGTGTCAGGGTGGGTTTCATAAAAGAGATTGGTTGCCACAGCAGAAAAGGATATGTGAGCTCTTTCAAATTAGAACAGGAATTTAATTAAGCCAGGAGAGTAATGAGAGATGAAGAGATGATTAAGGCCCCAGGATATTTCCTTCCTTGGAGGCAAGGGGAGGAAGCAGGGCAGAGCTAGAATTCCTCCCTCCCCACTCACAATCTGCCCCTTTCTTCCTGCCCCTCAGGTCTGTCTCCTTCAAACCCTCCACTTATGGCTCCTTCTGAGGGTCCTCTTCTCCCA